CCCCACTCCAATCCGATGCCCCAGAGCCCCCATCTGCACCCTGAACCTTTCATTTCTGGCTGCACATTGGAGCCTAAACCCCAGGCAGAACCCTAACCCCACCCACACTCCAATCGTTTGCCCCAGCCTAATGAGAATGATTGAGGGTGGGAGAGAGCAAGCAATGGAGGGAGGGGGGATGGAGTGAGCAGGAATCATGGTGTCAGAGAAGAGGCAGGGTATAGGGAGAGCCAAGTGTGTTCAGTTATGTGTGATTAGGAGGTTGGCCATCCTAATTATCCTTTGCACCTTCCTACCTCTTAGAGTGCGGAAGTCAGTTTTAGTTCTCCCAACTTTGTCTTCTATAAACTCTCCCAGAGTCCAAGAGAGAGTCTATGATTCCTGATCAGCAGTATTCTACTTGTGGCTAGTAAATATTTGGGTAACCTACTGGTAACGTGTTTGTCATGTTCTCCCCCACAAACTTTAATAGTGGCCAGTGATAAGGCAAAATATTTCCCTAACGCGTGGAATGTGACACAGTCACAAGTGCTGATTTGTCAGTATAACCAGGGCTGGCCTTACCATGAGGCGAATTGAGGCAGCCTCTTCAGGTGCCACACTGTGTGTGTGTGGGGGGGGGGGCGCTATTAGGAGCAAGAGAATTGAGGCCTTTCAAAGTTATGGCTGGTATGAGGGCGTCATTTGAGCTCCCTGCCTCAGGTGCCTAAATGTTGTGGGCTGCCCCGGGGTAGAGCTGACATGTTGTATGAGATTATCAGAGAGAAGTCTGATGAAGCTGTGGTACGTTATGGAACACTGGTATGAAGGGAGAAAGGCAAGCACACATTTTTCCCTTCAACTACTAATTTCCATGCTTTTAAAGTTTTGGGCTGATGAGTTTGGATTCAAATTTGGGTCGCTGCAACTGATACTGTCACTAAAAGTGGTTATTGTTCGAGAATAAAAACTAGAATCCTAGGGCTGGAAGAGACCTCAAGAGGTGATCAAGTCCAACCCCTGCCCAAAGCAGGACCAACCCCAACTAAATCATCCCAGCCAGGGGTTTGTCAAGCCAGGACTTAAAAAACTCTAAGGAGTTCTTCACCATCCTCCTAGGAAAATAGTTTTTCCTAATATCCAACCTAGACTCCTCCACTGCTCTAAGAAGGAAAATGTTTCATTGGCATAAGTGAGGACTAATGCACCAATCACACATCATCCACAGCTAGTCAGTGATAATTTTATTCCAGCAATATAGATTTAGGAATTTCACTGACAATATGGTAAATAATCAGTAACTTTAGCAGAGCTTCACAACCCTATGCCCTGGTGTTGAAACTTAATGATAAAAAAATTAAGGAACAAAGAACCTAAGTCAGTGATCCCCCAAGAAGCTATCCATCAACTACGTCTAAGGTGAGATTCTCAATGTTGCATCCTTCTATCAATAGACTATCACCTCCACATTTAATAGGTGAAAAAGAGTTTTGAATGCACAGCTGGGATAAGGAAGTGATGACTTATCTTACACAGCTTTTGAAGCTACTGATTCAGTCCAGTCCTTATCAGAGAAATACTTTCTTACACATGTAATATTTCTCTTAATAGAGAATGTAAAACTTATTACTATGAACTATTCCCATTGTGTTGTCACACATGTACTTAGTATCATGTCATGCCCTGGATACTTGAGAGCTCTAATCATTATCAGTTAAAACAATGAGTAGTCTGAGGGGTTTGCCCTCTAAAGCTCATGATTCTATATTATTTTTTGTTAGTCTCTCAGGTGCCAAAGGTTTACTCATTGTTTTTAAAGTTACAGACTAACACAGCTACCCCTCTGTGACTTTTCACAATTATCAGTTATCAGTGTTGATCGTGATGTGAAATGTACATATAATTATAGCAGGGGAGAGGAACCTTTTTTGGGTTAAAGGCCACTGACCCATAGAAATATCAGTTGAGGGCCTCACACAAGCGAGAAGAAAAAAAAAACACCCCAAATCCTCACTGACCTGGCTCCCAACTGAGAAGTAGAAAGACACTCCCCACAATCCCCTCACACACCAGAGCCTAGAGTGGATCCAACCTAGTAGATTTTGTATGCTCCAGCCGTGCAGTGAGACAGAGGGGCACAGCAGTCCCAGTGAAGTTTCCTCACTGCTGGGTGGGCCCTGAGCCTTAGGGGTCAGATCCAGGTCAGCCAGGGGCCGCATCAGGCCCCCAGGCCTGAGGTTCCCCACCTCTGAATTATAGGATATTAAACAGTGACACCTGCCAGCAGCAAAGCAGAAGGCTGTTCCATGGAAGAAGTCACTAGATATATTCAAAAAGAGGGTATGCATGATGATGATGCTAGAAGAACATTGAACCGTTTTATATTAGTAGAAAATGTACTGTTGTGTTTGTATAGTATAGTTTCCAGCTAACAATGAACAAAGCTGGGTTAAAGTATCTAACCTCCAAAGTAATGTACTGTGTATTTCCATAATCCTGACATGCTGGGATTGACTACTTGGTCCAATCTGTCATTCCAGCTGAAAAACTGGCATCCCTCCCATTATCCTTTGACAAAACTGCTGTTTGTGAATGGAAGCTGGAAGATTGTCCCTTTGATTCTGAATTCCAACATTCGATAAACATTAAATCTTGAGTATACAAGATACAGTTCTAATTCACAATGTTTTAAATTATGTAATTAACACATTATAACTGTGCCTTTGTGGATCATAACTGACGGTGTGTCTAGACTACCTAGTTTTGTCGACAAAAGTGGACTTTTGTCGACAAAACAATACCAGCGTCTACACTACCGCGGAGTTCTGTCGACATAACGTCGACAGAACTCCGCGGTTTTGTCGACGCTGGTATACCTCATTTTACGAGGCATAACACTTTCTGTCGACAGAACTCTGTCGACAGAAGGTGTTATTGCCTGTAACACTGCGTCCAGACTACGGAGTTCTGTCGACAAAGCGGCTTGCTTTGTCGACAGAACTCCATGTGTCTGGACGCAAATTGTCGACGGAAGTTTTGTTGACAGTATCTGTCGACAAAACTTCCGTCGACAAAACGCGGTAGTCTAGACGTACCCTGAGAATGTCAAGTTCAGGTGACACTGCTAAGAAACAGGGTTAATCTATCCCAAAATGTTGGTGGTTATTACCCCTAAAATATACCAAACCAGCCTCTAAAATGACTTCTGTCATGCCACTCTGGCTAACAAGAAGTCAGAAAGGAAGGCTATTCCAGTCTTTTATAACACCATCCAAAACACTAGTATCTAAAATCGAACAGGTTTTTTGAGAAAACGGAAAGTGAGTTGAAATTGGCTATAGGAATTTTAAAAAAACCCACAGACATGAGTAAAGTTCTGTGATCAGATTTCTAGAGTTGTTGAGCTTTATAGTTACAGATGAATCTTTCAGCATCAGTCCAGAGTTAGTAAGTCAATGTCCATTATAGGGGAACCAGGTATCCTGGGATCTCATCTTTATGGCTTGCAGCTTTCCCCATGAACCTTTATGTTCAATTTCCAGTAGCCCCTTTACCTGAAAGAACAAAAGTGTTTGATGTAAGTTTCTGTCTCCCAAACATCCTGGCAATTAACATAGGGTAATTTGTCCATTAAACAGTTCATATTCAATTTATCACAGCCTTCAAAGAGACATATGGACAGTAATACTACTTCAATCAAGTTTCATCACAAGTGTTAATATTCCCTTTTGATCTTGAATCAAGGCTATAGTATTAAACAAGAATTGTTTGTTCATGTCATAAGATCTGACTAAACATCTATGATTCTACAGCTATAACCATGCAAGTTTGCATTTCAAAGTTATAGTCTGACCAAATGTATTAGCCCAACTATCATTTACATATCTTCTTAACAAGTCTTCGGATCTTGAACCTGGGTCATTCAGCCTATGAATTGGTTAACCCTTTTTGATTATGTGCCACATCTTGTTCATTTGTCTAACATTTCAATCAGATAACATCACACATATTTATGGCAGGGAGTCACACTTTTATCTTACAGGGAAGTGCTATAAAAACAAACTTTTCTTCAACAATTTCTTTTTGCCAATAGACCAGAGTTTACTGGGGGAAGGTACAATTACTTCCAGCTAATGAGGATCTAGTTATCTCCTGTTCTTTGGTCCCTTGTTGGAGTCATGGCCTATTTTGAACTGAATTTTGCAGAATTATTTATTTGTGGATAAGTGTCTTCTACCTCACACCACAGTTGGAATAAAATATAATTATATAAAGAGATACAGGCCAACATGTTCAAAGATAAGTGCTTACAGCAGGGCTACTTAACATGTGGCTCATGGGCTGCATGCGGCCTGCAGCTCATTTGTTTGTGGCCCGTGGTGTGGTTTGGATTCATATGGGGCTCAACACGTGGCCCACAGGTAGAATCCTTTGAACATGGCCTCCACTGGGTACTTACTCCACAACAGTGAGTCAATATAATGGTCTTTTGGTGATATGTGTTTTAGTAGTTAAATTCCTGGACTGTCATTAAAAGTGCTGTCATATGGGTGGAAATTGGCTAAATGTTGCACTTTATTAATATCAGCAGAACTGACTTAAAGGGGGCCTGTGTATTGTGTAGTTTTGCCTTAATCTTTGTATTCATTCCTGTCAGTGTGAAAAAAGCTATTTGCATATATTTGCATATATATTTGCACATATATGCAACCACACTTAAGTTGCGGCCCTTGGCATGTGTTGTGAGTATCATTGTGGCCCCTGGGGCTTCCAAAGTTGAGTAGCCCTGACTTACAGTTTGGCTTCTAAACCTTTATTTATGAGATTAACAATGGTCTGACTATCAAAGGCACTAGACACCTACCAGTCCTATTGAACTTAATGGAGCTGCACCTTTGAAAAATAAAGCTATTGTATTAGATGCCCAAACAAGGGTTTAAGTGCCTAATTTTAGGCACCCATCCTTTACAGTCTTAGCAACCGTACATTCAGGTTTTAGCGGGAACAAGCAGTAGGAGAATTATAAGCAGAAAACATGAGCATGTGTAAGTACTTTAGAGAGCACACTACATAGGTAAAAATAATTTCCTGGTAATCTTCCAGACCTGAATTGGATATTGTAAGCCCATCTCTAAGTATAAGAAGTTAGGCAAAGGATTAAAAGTGTAGCGTAAGGTATGCATAAGCACACATAGGGGGATTTAGTTTTGATAATATATATATATAATTTTTTCCAAGTGCATTCAAATCATGTTATACTGTCAAGATAGTATTGTGTATTTGGCTATACACAAACCTACTACTGCAGTGGCAATTTTATTCCCCATTGTACAACTCTAATCAACCGTGGTATTTCAAAACAAGACAATTTGTCTTGCTGTAAATAGAAAAAGAATTACACAAACGTATCTCTCTGCTTTACTATCCTGGAAACCTCATAGATTATATGAAATGTTTTTTATGTGGCACTCCAGAGAGAACATACAGAAAAAGAAATGATGTTTAATTTGGCTTCTTGCTATGTTTACCTTCATCTAATGTGGGAAGGAGTTCTCATTTATGCAATTTAACAGCATTTTTATACCACTTAAAGTCTGTGAACTGTGGGTTAGATTAATTTCACCACATTTCTCAGAGCTTCCTTGGGGTTACAAGTCATTAAAGGCAACACTGTAGCTATCTGAGAGAGAAGAAGAAAGAACAAACATTTACATCTTCAGGAAAGGGCATGCCACTTGCTGCATGTAACATATGGAGCATCAACAATGTGTTTAAAATATTTGGCTTCTGAATGTGTATTTTATTTGTTTGTTTGTTTGTTTGTTTGTTTGTATTATATTAGCATCCACAATGTGGCAGGTGTTGCCTGCACAAGTAAATGGAAGTAGACCAGCTTACAAACTGAGAAAACAGTCAACTGATAAAGAGTAAAGTAGTGGTATGAAACATACAACCAGTATTTAAAATATTTGTGTGTATCATTGGTTAACTACAGTTCAGCTTTGTATCTAGCTCTTATACTTGGCTTTGTATCTGTCAAGTGAGAAATGGGCTTTGGGAATTTTTAAGGCTGGACAAAGGTGAGTCTTGGGAGACCGAAGAGCTCAGTGTAAGCTTGAAACTTGTTTCTCTCACCCACAGAAGTTGGTCCAATAAAAGATATTACCTCGCTCACCTTATCTATCTTGGGAAACTGTTCAGAGTTGCTTAGGGAAGGGCATTCCATGCATATGGAGTGTCCTGAAAGAAAACATGAAGATAATTAGTGGGAAGTTAACATATGGTCAGTTGAGGCAGGTATCTTGATCTTTGTTTTTTTCTCCTTTATGGATGTTTTTCATACATTCCAGTTACACGCTGTGAATCTTACAACTACATGCTTTCCTTTTCATTTCTTTGTTTGAACTCTGCCTCCTGCCATTCAGCAGATGTGGAGCCTGACGACAGGGTAGCAGGTGCAGAACTTCTGAACATTGGGCAAAACACAGAAAGCCAGTGCAAAGGAGAACTCCTTCTCATGTTTGCTGCAGAAGTGTTTCTACCCAGGCTGCACAGAGTGAAGAGCTGGCAGTAGACCAATAAATCCTCAATTTCAGGGATCCATAAGCTTAAAAAAACATGCAAGGGCATGTGGTAACTGCAAGTCTAAGAGCTGCCGCAGTAGCCACAGAGAGATGTTGCAATTTCTCTGCTGTCTGAAAGGAGTGGTTCTGTCATACATGAAGCACCCATGTGAAAAGGCCTTTTCCTTAGGTTGTATGTGGGAGGAAGTATTTGTCTCCATGGGTGTGTCTAGACTACAGGTTTTTTTCAAAAAAAAGTGGCCTTTTTCCAAAAAAACCTTCCCCTGCATCTGTCTATACTGCTGCTGTGTTCTTTCGAAAGTAAATCGAAAGAACGTGGCAGTTTTTTCAACTTCAGAAAACCTTATTTTACGAGGAATAATGCCTTGTTTTGAAAGTGCTCTTTTGAAAAAAGGCGCTATGTAATGCAAACTGTGCATTTTCGAAAGAGAGAATCCAGACTGCCTGGATGCTCTCTTTCGAAAAAGCGGCTTGCTTTTTCGAATGTACTGGCTGTAGTCTAGACTCTCTCTTTCGAAGAGGCTTTTAGTCTCGACATACTCTACATGTGAGCTAATTTTTTAAAATGTGCTGTACCCTCTGTCAGTCCCTCCATCACAATTTTGTATTATTTGAAAGTAACACAAGGTTAACTAGAATTTATGTATATGAAGATTTGTAATTTCTTTGTGTTGCTAAAGAAATTACATAATAGATTTCAGTAGTGATATATGTAGGCATAGCAGTCCTTCCTTCTACATGCTATTCATTACTGAATTGGGTCCTTTGTTTGCACCAACCTCTATATAAATTCTATCCCACCTGAATCTTTATTAAGTGTATCTTTGTACAGGATATGTACATAGAGCAGATGAATTGATGTCAATTTATATGGTACCTGTAATGTGGAGTTTCTTAAAAATGAATTATGTACTACTGGAAGATTTTCTTCACTCAATTAATGTTTTAAAAAATGGATATGCTTTAGTTAAGTTCTTGTATTTTTCTAAAATACAGTGTTATTTTGAATAAGTTAATTTTTATCTGGCGTTTATTTTAAAAAGGAATTGTTAAACTTTTTCTATTTAACTTTTTGAGTAATGTTTTTTAAATGAGAATTCTATCAAGTGTATTTTTCTTCATCCCTATAAAAGCTTATTAATGAGGTTTACAGGATAGGTCAGAAAAGGCTTTCCTTGTCGACCGATCCCCATCTAGACTGCTGCTTTTTGCTCACAAAGTGTCGCGTCGGCAAAAAGCGGCAGCCATTTTTATTCAAATGAAGCGCGGGATATTTAAATCCCCACTTCATTTGCAATAGCAATGTGCCTAATCTACATCCCTCTGTCGGCAGAGGGATGTAGTTTACACACACACCCATTCTGTTTTCCTGGCACAACCAAATTCACATGTTGCTTTCAGCTATGGTAAGAGGAACTTATATACCAAACCTGGTGTTCCAAGCTCTTGCTGTTAAGTTCTTAGACAAACAGACAAACAAACTCTCTAAAATATATAGTTGACTAGGGGGCTGTGCCCCCTGCTCGCTACGATCACCAACACCCCTCTTGGCCTGAGAGGGCCCATCCCACCCCACCCCATCCCTGGCCCTCTCTCTCTCCCTGACCTGCCCCTGCCCTTTCTCACTCCCCCCTCCCCCCTGAAGCCTGCCCCTGCTTTTTCCCGCCCCTCCCCTCCAGCCCGCCCCGGCTCTTTCCCACGTCTATCCCCCAAAACCTACCCCAGCTCTTTCTTGTCCCTCCTTCCCCCAGCCCTCCCTGGTTCTTTCTTGCTCCCCCCCCCCAGCCACTAAGGAGAGCCAGGTCACAGTGCACCAGCCCTGGCTCTGCCCCAAACCTAGGGAATGTGTGAAGGAGGCCAGGGAGAGGGAAGGGGGTGTGGCTCCCACGAAGCACAGGGGAGGGAGGCTGGAGCAATGCACTGCCCCAGCCTCACACTTACTTGGAGGGCCATGGGGGGGATGCATTCCCCCCCCACACACGTATGGGCCTGGAGGGGCAGTGTAGGGCTGCAGGCAAAGAGGCTGGTCAGCAGGGAAGCCTGCTGGCAGAGC